TGTTAGGTCAGAGCTCAGACCTTGAATTACAAAATTTGCCACTGTTACCTTCCCATGCCCCCAAACACCTCTTCATCACCCTGCCCTTCCACACACGCCAGGCAGCCCCTATGTGGAGAAAACTGTTCGAGCGGTGGGTCTCGGAACGCAACATCCCCTTGATCCCGTTGTGATACAGCCTTCAATGACGCGATCCTATGCCACGATTTTCCCCAAGGCTCCTGTGTCCCCCAGGACGTGGGGGTGATGGTGCTCCCTGGTTGAGAAGCTCTTCTGCAGCTGGGGTGGGGGGCAGAAAGCCTCTCTGTGTCCCTTTGATTGACTATGGTGGAGGCTTTGAACCTGCCATGGAAATAAAATGCCTCATTGCAGTCAGGTCCGGCTCATCTTTTCAAAGCCAGGAACAACAGTGAGTGGCAGGGCTGATTTGTCTGGGGGCTGCTTGTGTTAACAGGGTGGCTGCAGGCTGCGAGGGCCAGCGGTGGTGTGGAGCAGGGCAGCTTCCCTGGCCAGCGCTGGAGCTCAGCTGCCTCGTGCCCCCAAAGAAGAAATAGCCACAGAGCAACTGGGTTCGGGATGCAGCAGCTCAAAGGGACTTGTGGAGACCTAATGGCAAAACTCAGGAGGAGCAAGAAAGTGATATTTTACAGATGAGGTCTGAGGCACAGGGAGAGCAAGGTCAAAAGTCTCTTATCCTTGCAGGTGCCTTGTTGGAAGTGCTATTTTCCACCTCTCATGACCACCCGTAGCATCCCATATCCTCAGGCACAGTTCCCATTGCCGTCCATCGCGGGCACAGGGGATGTGCACGCCCACAGATCAGCCTCGGGGCTGGTGACCCAGAAAATGAGGAACATCCACCCGGGATATCCTTCCAATGGTTTGTTTTCACTGCCTTGCTTCATGCTGCCAGGAGGATGCAGGGGCTGTGGGCAGCGGGGGCTGCAGGCAGTGGGGGCTGCAGGCAGCAGGGGCTGCCGCCGCCCTCCCCGGATCTGGTTGGTCGAGCAGGCCCCATGTGTTCTGCAAGGTGAGGATCATGCTGGAAAAATAGTGTGTCACCATCTCATTAAAGACCCTTCCGAAAGGTGTAGGTGCCAGGAGTTAGTTAAGCCTGCAGCCTCACTCCAGCAGTCTTGGTCTTTGAGTGCTTTAATTCCTAAATCGTAATAGCGTTGCAATAACACGGTTCCCACGTGCCTTTCAGACACCAGGGGAAATCTCTCACTCAGCGGTGTCGTGTGGCGCTGACCCGGACCTCTGCCACTGGCAATGGTGAAGCCATGGGACAGCCCGCAGGATGTTCTGCCACGAGGAGCTGCTGATGCTCAGGACATTGTGAGCCTGAAGTATTGGGAGAGTCAGGACAAAATGGCAAGATCTGGCCAGCCTGGCTAAGTCCTGTTGTTCCTGGGGTGTGACGCACCGACACTCGAGGTGATGCTGAAGCAAGGCTTCAGACCTCAGTTTTCACAGCTGGTGAGGAGCCCTCTTACTCTTGAGGGAAGCGTCAGGGGTTTTGTGGTAGAGAAGAGAGCAATATTGGTCACCTCAAGAGGTGGCTGTGACTGATACGTGCGTGCACACCCACCTTCCCCGTTTTCCGACCCAGATGAGATTACACCAGGCAATATCTTTACTTTACAAAACATCAAGGCACTTGATTGCTGAGGTAGTTAGTAACTCCTACCGGGGCAATGGGTGGGATTAATGCCCAGGTGTGTTTTAAAAGCCTGCTTTGCCCAGTGATCGGACCCTCAGTTATTAAAATACAGCAGCAATCAAAGCAATAAAACACAGCCAGTCAAGTTCAGATAGGGCTTAAACCCCACTCCCAGCAGAACACAGCATCCTACCGGAGTGACAGCTGCTAAAATCAGCTGACAGAGTATTGGAGGGTACAACAACTGGTACATGCAGTAACTGAGGAGATGATGTTAATTTACCCTGAACAGAGGGTAAAGGCTTGTGATGTGCTGGGAGTGCTATTTCAGGTATTGAGGTTTCTTATTCTGGAAATCAATTATTATTGACCGGGACAGATAAGAGAGAAGAGGATTAGCAAAAAAAAAAAAATTAAAAAACATTAAAGGTAAGAAAGCCAGCCTGACTCACAGAAAGCAGCAGGAGCTTTCAACGCATTGAGGATGAATTTTAATGCTCCTTTACTCCATGTAATAGCGAAAGAGTGGGAAGCAAAAGAAAGACTGTAAGTGCTATTTTCTAGCTTATGAGCTTTCTCTATACATGCTTTTTAGCTTTCCATACTTGGTATTTTTACTTAAGTTAGCTAAAAGTGGATTTGTGAATCACCCACCACACTTCGATACTCATCTCAGGGTGGTTGTCCTCAGCTGGTTGGTTTTTTTTAATCAAAGAGCATATGCTACTAAAGTTTTCTTCTATTGCAACCTGCTGAGCTTTTCTGACCAGCTTCCTTCTGTTCTAAAGCAAAGCAGCCAGCCTCAGACGTGTCCCGGCAATATGCAATTGTTCCTGTTATTGCCTGCAGGTTTATGTTCCCAATAAAGTCGATGTCAGTTGTGATGGAATATGACTGGAATGTATTTTGGAGAGACAGGAGGACAGTACTGTATTATTGATGGCTCCAGCACAGTATAGGAATCCTATTTCCCTAAAGTCCATTATCATTGCAGGGACATTAGCAGCATGAAGGCAATACAGTGACATTTGGCTTGCAGCCATGCTTCAGCCAGATGGGACACATGGTTTCTCCTGTGACCACGGAAGATGGTTGACCTGCAGCTTTGAGGATAGGCAGCCCTGTCGGCACTGGGTGGAGAAGTGAGCATCTTACCCAGTCCTGTGAAGATGTCCTTACTTGGGCAGATGTCCTGAAGCCATTGCTCTTCAGCCCAGGCCTCCCTGACGATACTTTTCTGGAACTGTTTGTGGGTCTTATCCCACAGTCAGCAGTGAGGGACTTCATCTCCCTTCAAACCTGTCTCAGCTGTCTCTGACCCACAGTCATCATCTTGCTTAGGTCCCTGTTCCTACCCCTGGGTGGCAAGCCACTGCTACGACGTGTCTCACAGCACCTCGCTCTCTGCATTAGTGTCCAGCGATGGAAGAAATCACTGCTTAGGACAGGACTGAGACCTTGCTATGGAGCATAACAGAAGCCAAAGGCAGGAGACCACAGCAGTTTCTACAGCTGTGGTAGTGGGTTAAGGTCATGCATGTATAGGCACACACAGGTTTCCCCATAATACACGTCAACAAAGTGCATAGTCACGCAGGTCAGCCAGCCCAAAAAAGCCAGGGATGCAGCTCCTGACGCACCTCCTACGAGAAAGAGTAGACACAGGGACTCCAATATTGCCTGGTGGCATGAGAGTCTCCTGCAAGACTGGACAACACAAGACACTCATTTGCCAGTGTGATTTCTGAAAGCAAAGGCAGATCCAAAATCATGTAAGCAGAGTCACAGAGGTGATACGCCGCATGGGAAAGGGAAACAGAGGCCTCTGCTTCAGCCTGCAGATTGATGACTAAATGCCATTAAGAAAATCAGCCACATATAAACCCTGTAAATTGCATCTCCCTTGAATTTGTGCCCGGAAGAAAATGAATGTATTCCTCAAAAATGATGCAGCATCTGCAAACAATTAATTTCCCCCATTTGAGAGTTAACATTATTTCATACTTCTGTTCTTGTTACTGTTAGCAAAACTTCTACCATGTGTAGAAAAAAAAGACAGGAAAACTAGTCTTCCCTGAATGCTCAGCTTGATCATTTCAGTAATTCTTCATCAAGACCAAGAAGTAGCCATTTGATTTAAGTGGGGAACGTTGTCTGCCTGCCCTGGAAAGTAACATGAAGCAAAGGGGGGAAAAGCAGAATGAATAATAACTGAGGCTTTTTGGAGTGGAAATAATATTTTGATGGAGCATGCAGTGACTGTGAAGTATGACAGCATGACTAGATGGGGATGCCTGGTTCCTGGCCCAGAGCTCACTTCTGTGGGACTGGTTTCTTTCCTGGTGATAGTTCTGCATTTTTGGAAACATCTTCCTCTTCTGAAATAAGGGGCCATTGTCTCTTAATCCATAGTATCCACCTCTGGTCGAGGACAAGGATTTTAAAAGCTCTCTCAGAAAGAGTAGGGATTAAGCTGGCTGGCTTTCCCACGCAGAGGAGCAGTTCAATATTAAGAATTGTGATGGAGATATTACTAAGGAACCATAGTGCATATACTCTGCAACCTACCAGCTTACAACTAATCACATTATATTTTGCTTTCAGATAGGATGTGTAAAAACACAGCCTACAAATCCAATTTCTGTTCTATATTTGATCCTCAGAGCAGCTAATCCTCTCTATAAACTGTAAAATGTATCCAGAATGTTATCCTGTTCTGATCTGTTGTTGGTAATTGAGTTTTCTTCCAAGAATTTAACTCGTGTTTGGTTTTTTTTACCCTAGTAAAATTCCTAAATAAATAATGCAGACATATTTTCAAAG